ATCGATAGCATGATAAGGGAGTCAAAATGCTACATATTAGGCTAGTTATGAGAACCGTCAATTCACTCTAAATCTCTAGGTCAGAATTAAATAAAATACACACAATAATTTGTAGGAAAATATTCGTGGTAAATCAGCACTTAAAATTGCATTTAACAATTTCATTGGTGTCGGCGCGGCGGGGATCGAACCAGGGTTGCTCGCGTACTGTGAAACTTACAGCGAGCGCTATTATTATTATGATTGATAAATATTAATAGGCACTTATTTGAAAAATTTACTTAAATTTTTAGTTTAAAATAATAATTAAATAAATGATTAACGTAAATAACATAGGTAGAGTATTTTTAATAATTTTAAACTAATATACCTACGGGTTTGTTCGGAACCCTGGGTGCGCGAATCCGACTCGCATTTGGCCGTTTTTTTATGGATATATACGACTACTACTTCGGTTATAAAACTTTCTTAAAAACGATGGTTTTATAACCGAAATTAGTTTGCATTGTTTACTAAAAAAATCATAGGCAAAGTACACATAGGTACAGTTTAAACCAGTATAATACTTAAATGTTAACGAACCGCTTAATGACTTTAAGCCCTATGCATCAGTCATAGAGTTATCAATTTACCTTTTTGTGCCAACGTATTACAGCTTATAATGGTCAAACAACTTTTCTATCTATCTTTCCTGAGTTACCCATCTCTATATTACTGACTGATCCGTGAAATGTTATGTGGCAACAATGCTGAATAATATAAGTGCTTAGATTATTTATTGTGTACCGTAATAAGGTTGTATATAAAATCGATTTTCCTTCATACCTTAACAAAAATGCCACTATGTCAATTCATTATTTACAAAAATGTCCATTTACACAAAACAGCAATGTCTATGTACACAGAATTTTCTCGCAAAGTATCATCTCTATCTGACTTGTGTGGATTATAATTATTTTTAAATTGGCGGTGGACGACTTCATATAATAAATAACATAATACATCTTTACATTCATTACACGTTGCTTAAAAGTTTTATTGTCTTATTCAAAATGGTGCTATATCATTCTATTGTTTTCACAGGCCGACGTAAACATAGTTAATATTTACACTATTTGACCACTTAAATACCCAAGTACCACTATTTCTGTTTATACTATTAACACTTAGAACTTAATACTATGAATAATTATATTTTAGTTAATCTCTCAATTTAGAAAACTACTAAATACGTTAACTTGAACTATTATAAATACTTGTACAACATGTGCAGAAAGAGAGATGTCGTCGACACACGGCTTAGTGTGAAGAAAACGGAATGTCACAGACATCTGTTGTCTTTATAATCACAAAATTAAATTTACCGATAGACAAGGACAGAGATAGGAAACGTCGTAGTTGTGCGAGCGAAATCGCGTTAGATAATCGCGTATCGTGTCTCTCACGCATGTTTTTATTATCTATCTCGCTCTCACAATCATGGTGAACAATAAACACCATTATAATTTTCAACAAAATAAAACTAACCGATGTCCTTTGATATTCGTTGTTTCTCGTTCTAGCGACAGTATCATAAATACGTATGAAAGAGATGAAGCGAATATGGATTTCGTTTGGTTGTTTTGGTTGTTATCATAAAACGGTGCACGTAGTGAAATATAATTATAAGTTTCTTAACAATAAGGTCGAATTTTAAATGGTTAAAATTGCCTAATTTTTTAAGTTTGTGTAGTTATGAGAGGTGTCAGATTTAAATGATCTTTAGGACATTAGGCACTAGACTTAGATTTGTTTCATCACATTATATTTCGTTTAGGCAACTTTTGTTTATGTGAAAGTTGGAATTTGATTTTTTTTTCTAACGTAACAATTACGCACTTTACATTGGTGGCGTGTGCCGTTCACTATGAAACTATCTGTAAAATTATTAATTTTTCACGTTGCGTTTGTACATTTATTTGTAATATTTGTTTGCATTTTGTACATTTGTTTTAAAACTTTCCTGTCAGTCCTAAGCCTAGTTAAGTATATGAAGGTAAATCGCCAAAATAAATAATCATTATAAAAATAATGATTATTAATATAATAATAATAAATAAACTATAATAATTTTCTATATACATATAAATTAATAAATTATGTTTACTACGGAATACAGTTTAATTATAGATTTTGAGATCAAACTCTGAACCTACATCTCACGTTAAAAAAATATAGGTATAAACATTATAGAAATAAATAAGGATAGAAAAAAGTAATTTTAAACATTTATAATACTATATTACTGCATAACAATCATAAATTATATATTAACATACATGTCTAAATATTACATCTAAGATTATATTAGAGCCTCTGACTTCTAAACTAAAATAATCGAAGTAATTCGTAAAATAAATGTTGCATTCGTTCTACAGTTTTCAGGCATAGATGAGCCACTCTGAAAAATAATTAGGTGACGAAATGAGGAAAGTTTCTTCTGCGCTTTTATAGATGGCGTAGGGATTATAAATTACTGAAAATTACACTAGAGGGCGCTATCATCTAGGCTAGTATTATTTCGTATTATTCGGTTATGTTTCGGTTGTAAACCATTACTACTGATATCGATATTTGAAAACGGTTTTCAGTAACGATATGAAAATTAAATATCAGTTATGCAACCGTTGCAGCCAAAATCTGAAAACGCCCATGCTTATTAACAACCGTTCTGTAGTTAGAAGTCTGTACAGTTAACGCCCTCTACGGAAACCCCACAGTACTAATTAATACACATCTCCACTAACTCAATAGCAAATCGAAAAATCGATCGATGTCTTTGACCATAGAAAGTGGTTTTGATGATTCATAATAGATGTCGCTGTTATTGCACAGACACGCGTCTCGTTGGATAACATAAGGTTATAAACATGTGTTTTTTTTTCACTAATAATATTATATTATTATTTTTTTTATATTAATATTTATATTTGGATAAGAACTTAGTAATTTGACTCTAAGTTATATTTACCATCATTTAAAAAAAAATTGTCTTTGGCCTGATCTGGCTTGACCATAGGTCTGACTAATTTGTTTATTGAACTGTCAAATCATAAGTGGTTAATTGAGGATAAATACTGACGTTTATGAACCAAAGCATCCACTTACCTTCAGGTGGACTGAATGCTCGTTCGTCAATATTGTTTCATAAAAAAAACAGTCGTAGGTATATCACGTTTTAGTATGCTACGGATCGCCGTATGCGAATGCATCAAATTGATTCAATAAAAAAATTATCCGATGATGGTGGAGCATCCGCCACACACATGCGTGTTTAGGCTACTGTAGTTCGTACTTACAAATGTTATCATAGTATTAGTCGTCAGTATTTTTTTATTTTCTAGAAAGATGAATACTTATAAATATATTATATATTTTCTGTCCTAACATTTCTTTTATAAGCTCTGCATTACTTGCACTAAATTGTGCTTACAATGCTATAACATAAGAATCGAGTCAGAAATTTCACCCAAAAGTAGTTTATTAGCAGAGCATCTGGTTCAAGGAACATACTACATCTGGTTGTGTGATCTAAAATATTACGCGTTAATATTCAATCTCAAGCGAAAATATTCACTTCGTATATTCTTTATGTATTCATGGCATTCCAACCTGGAGGTTTTAAGTACGAGAAGTAAAGAGCTGGGCTAAGCACACAATATATTATAAAAGTCAGAAAACTCAAACGAAACCCTACCCTACAAACCCGTCTTATGGTAAGATAGGCGTACTAGAAGTGGAACATGAACGGGTCGTGATATTCAACAAAAAAATATATGTAAAAGGCCACTCGATTTAATCGAAAGGCTATGATATAACATATAAAATAAGGACAGTATCTCTCATATTATTATCACATTTTATTTAACGTTTATTTTAATCGATATCGATAAATTATTACGATACAACAATATTAACGCACACATTGACAATCTACGCACTCAGAGACAATCAATTTTTGGTCTCGTTTTCCAGATGTGATTGCCAATCTATGGAGTATATACTATATCTATGCTCCATACAATCAACAAACACAAAACGTCATAGACTACAAACGTAACTTTTTTTTATTTAATGGAGGTGAAGATAACTAAGTATACAGCCATCTCGCGAGTATTTTAGTAATTAACCCTTTAACCGGCAACTCCATAATATTGCGGATACATTCAACTAATCTATACAAATAAATAAAATTGAAGTGTCTGTTTGTAATGTCAAAATTACAGTTTTTTACTAAATGCATATGAAAGTAAATACGATACCTATAACTAAAATACAATTTTTAAAATTTTTGTCTGTCTGTCTGTCTGTTTGTTACGGGTAATCTCCGAAACGGCTGGACCGATTGTGACGGGACTTTCACTGGCAGATAGCTGATTTCATGAGTAACTTAGGCTACTTTTATTTTAGAAATAGAATCAGGGTTCCGCGCAGAGACATAAAAACCCTAACACGCGAACGAAGTCGCGGGGAACAGCTAGTTGTAAATAATTTTATGGCTTTTACCAAAACCAAAAAAATCGAATAGCGATTCACATGGGTAAAATATCAATTCAATGGATCGATTCAGTACTGCATATAGATTAAAAAATTTATGGATCTGAAAAATGAATTCTTTGATTAATCAATTTCAAATCCATCCCTAATTCTTATTAGTTTGTGTCTTGTGTCATGAAAGACATATTTAATATTTATTTATCTATGGTCATGAAGTCATGAAAATTGTAAGTTGTATTGTAAGCAGTGTGAGAATCTTCCTGTATAGGACAGTTATTATACTCTTTGGTGAGAAATGAGAATCACAGAGTACATTATAGTGAGAATGAAATGAAATAAACTTTGAACTTGGTCTAACCTTGGATATCGTATTATAAATTCATATTCGTAGCGGTATAAAAGTACAATAAAGTTCGGGAAACTTTACACTTTACTTTTACAAAGAAAAACATAAATAAAGTGAAATGACTACTGTAATAAAAGTTGCTAATGAACAAGAAATTATCAAAAAACTTTCGTCTTACATAGAGAAAATATCAAACGATGCAATACTCAATAGAGGGCACTTTTTCGTAGGTTTATCAGGTACAAAAACATTTTTACCTTACAATAACTAATTTAACTTTTACAGGTAGCGGCAGCAGTATTTTTCCATATTCACAAGGCATTTCGCTATTTTATTATTTATATAACGCCGTCACTTAGGTTTAGATTGTCAGTATTCTTACACAATTTGTATTAAACTTACTGTAAAATACAGATATAATACAAATCTTAATTTAAGCGCATAATCACAAAGAAATTTTGGTTAACAACCAGAAAGTTTTCTGCTTGTTAACCAAAATTCAATGTTTTTATACTTGGAAAAGAGCGTATGACATAGTTCATTCAGGGTTGCTTATGGTAAAAGCTGGAATTAATTGTTGAGGGCTAAAATCTCTATAGGGACTCTAGTGCTTGTGTCAGGTTCAATGTGGCCTATACTGACTAGTTTGCCATACATAAAGATGTCAGACAAAGTTATGAAGCTTCCTTGTGGCTGTTCAAACTGTTTATAGATAGTTGTTTGGAAATTATAACATTTGAAGAATGTAATTTAAGAATGAGTGAGTTATGAGTTAAATGAGATCGATATGACATGATTTTCAGTGTCAATGAGGTGTGAACTTGCAATCAATTCATTGTTGTTGTCTGTGGGTGAGTTGCAAAATGTTGTTACATGAATGAATGAATACAGGATTCAGAGCAAAAAAGAGCTCTTCACTTTATTGTAGGAAGTCAGCATGTGTCATAAAAGGCATGTGTGGCAATTCACAATGTTGCGTTAGTCCCTACCTTAGTGAAAGTTGGGTGTGGCAGATAAGCATGAGAGCTGAATTATTGCTATAGGAATGCAGTGTTAGAAGAAACTGGATGATATGGTGAAAAATTATGTGATACGAAAAAAGTGTGGTTTTGAACTTGTTGTGATCAGAGTTGCTTTGGTTTTTTGGACACAAAGAATAAATGAGGTAAGAGTGATAAATCACATTTATACAACAAAAGTGAGTGGCAATCAAGAAATGCCCTAGACAGAAGTTTGTTGATCAAATGATACATTAAAGATGAGCCAAATTTAGAATACCAATAACTGATAAGCATGTATACATAGATATATAGTAGATGTGGAATAAAGCGAGAGAGGAGTGTCAGGATCAAGCCCAATGGAATTCCTTAGTCTCTGTCTACACGGGTGAGCTTTATATGTATATTTATATACATATTACACCACTTGCAAGAATTTAAAACCTTGCATGAATTTCTTTGAAGTTTGCCCATATAAACAGGAGCTAACAGATTGGTGAGTGTGGTGCTTCTACCCCCACTCTTAATCCATTAGCTGCCATGTCAGCTACTGTGTATGGAGTTTTGCATTCAAAACATGACTGACTGCAGTATAACTGTGTTGTGAGCTTATGTTTGCCATTTGTAGTTGTGCACTTTTGACACCGCTGTCCATTGCTGGTCTGGTTATTTTTATAGATTTATCCGACACTTCCCTTAATCACCTTTTACGCCACCTACAAAACGAAATGGAGTGATGGATTCTCTGATGCCTCCACACATGACAAATCTTTATTTAGATAACATAAATCATTTACAACAATGCAAAGCTATAATCATTGTTATATAGCATTACTGTTTGTAGCATGGCACCTGTGTGAGATGGTGGTAATACAATTTTGTAGAAGAAAGAATATTTGACAGTGATACATTGTACTGCTAATTCATCTATCCAGCATAGTGGTTATGACAAAACTTTTTGATAAAGAAGAAGACTGTACATGTCTGAGCTTATTTGTCATTTAAAATCAATATAAGAGCTTCTTAATAATATGTAAAATAATCTAAATACAATGTTATATATTTGAAATCTTGTATTATTTATATTTTAGGAGGATCTGTAGTAAAATATCTTTGTGAAGGTCTTCCGCAAGTTAACACAGATTGGTCAAAATGGACTCTAGCATTTTGTGATGAAAGAGTGGTGCCTGAAGACAGTGAAGACTCAACATTTGGATGTTACAAAAAACAGTTAATACCTAAAACCGAGTTGGATACAAACCAATTTATTGTTATTAAACAAGGAGTTACAGGTACTAACTTCATGATAAAATCTAAATTTCCTAATTTGCCTGACAAAATTGGAACATTCTTGGGATGTGATCATATAATGCCTCCAAACTGGGGGCCTTCAATATAATTTAACTTTTGCAGTGAGTCTTCATTTTCCCCAAAAGAAGATACATAGTGGCTTAAATCGTTTACTGTTGATAATGTCTCTGCATTTGACTAAATCGGAATTGACTCTCCTTCACCTTCATCGTCATCACTTAGGACCTCTTTTTGGGTATTATTCACATCTTCAATTAGATCTTCGATTGAACGGGTTTCGTAGGGTACATTATCATCAATGGAAGAATATTCAGGAAAACCCTGCAGTATCACAAGTATTCTTCCTACATGATGTCAGCTTCATTATTTCAGAAACCTGCTTTTCAATCAATTTTGTATGGTTTCAGGCTTAATTGCTTCCCATGCTGCTGTAATGTTTAGGATCGCATCATGCACAGTCAATGGTTGTTTGCTGTCAAGGTCTTCTATTTCTTTAAGGTAGCAATGCATCTATTGTTTATGTTCTGTAGTCTTGTTTAAGGACTTTTATAATGTCCTGATCCATCAATTGCCACTTGCTTGTTGTATTCAGAGGTTAGAAAACAAGCTTGATGTTCTTTAGCTCAACATCTTTAGGGTGAACTTAGTTAACTTAAGTGTGCGGAACGCGCATACACGCAGGGGAGGGACTCAGCAACTCTCGGTGCTGCTCTGGTTTTGCGCTGATGGCGTATTAGAGGGCATGACAAATCATATTAAGCATGTTAAAAATGTATGAAAACATGCCTCAAGTTGCAGGGACTGATATAAAATGGCATATTATGCGACAAATTGTATTAAATGTGATCTTATTAAGCTAGTTTTACTGTAGTTTATGTGACAGCTAAGCCTGAAAGTGAACAGCTCAAGTATACCAATTGCAGTTGTATATTGTGAATTGAATAATATTAGGCAATAATGTAAGTTGACTGACAGAGAATACCACTAGGCATTAAGTCCATCTATTTTAAGACCCAAGGTAATTACAATTAAGAATAAATAATTTGCTGCTGCTTTTTCCTTGTTGTAAATTTTACAGTACACAAGTAACCGGGGTTCAATGCCCACCAGCACCAACAATGCTAATTGCAATTTTAAATGCCGATTTTAAATGGCGGTAAAGGGAAACAATGAGGAAACCTGCATGTCTAAGTAATTAAAAAAAATATTTCATAGACTTATTTTACCAACATACATTGAGACAGCACACCAGACATCTCCTTGCCCTAAATTGCCTTTGCCCAGTAGGCCACTTTTAACTTTACTTTTTTTTTAAGTAAATAAGTTAATCTAAATGTGCTTCCAGCAACCGATATACAGCTATAGAGTTTTGCCAAATTCATATTGAAAGTGAATCAAACATCTTTAAACACTTCAAATCTATTTAAGCTATGGGAGGTCATTAGAGAAAGATTCCTTCAAGAAGAAGGCCACAGTTGCATTGCACATCAAATACCTTATAGTTGATGCTCTGCTGCTTGTTGGCAAAAAAAGATACTACTTCTTCTTTTTATTCTTACTTTTTTCAAGGGGAAATGCTTACCGCTACCTGCTTTAAGAGGACAGCTCCTCCACCTATATCTTACCGCCACGGACCCCCCCCCCCCTCTACCACCCTCGCCGCCAACAAAAACGTGCATTCGGTAGCTCAGCCCTCAATCCCAGCGGCGGATTTGGTACAAACATCTTGGACTGCGCCTATTTGTACTAACCCCCAATAAGAATTATGGAATGCAATCTCGTTCTCGTCCATATTTATATTTTTTATATAATATAATTTTTGTGCGAGATATTGTGAGATTGAGCGGGGCAGCATAATCGTGTATTACAGCGCGGCTGAACGCGAATGATTTCCTGCCGCGCTGTGCACTAATCAGTGTACTTTGATTGTTTTATTTTCCAGCCAGTGAAGCAGCAGAGGACTACGCGGAGAAGTTGAAAGAAGCCTTCAAAAGTGATGAATTTAAATTTGACTTACTTTTATTGGGCATGGGACCAGACGGGCACACCTGCTCATTATTCCCTGGTCATCCTTTACTAGATGAAGTCGATTTGAAAGTAGCGGCCATTACAGATAGTCCCAAGCCACCTCCAGAAAGGATAACATTGACATATCCAGTTATAAATAGTGCGAGGAACTGTATTTTCGCTTGTAGCGGAGCTGGGAAAGCTGACATGATAAAGGTTAGTATTTTAATAAAAAAAAGTAATGTTTTTTTTTTTGTAAAATTGATGTGACAAACAAACTGATGGTGACTACTGCAGCCCATGTGCACTTCCAATCAACTTCAAACATGGCATGGAATGCGTCCATCTGCAATTATACCAGCTCTTTTTATATCTTTCAAGCCGGAACTAGGTAAAAGTCGCGGCATGAAAATCTAGCGGTGACCGTTATTGCGCATAAGTCGAAAATAAGGTATCATGGGGTAGTAAGCGGGTCGCGGGGCAGGCGTGTGTATCGTTTGCACGCGCTGGTTGGCGCTCACCAGTCTCATTCCGTCCCCCGTACCCGTACTGTTACGACGTCTCGCCCACTTCCAGACAGTCGCGTTCTGGATTGTATCGTTATTACTGTTAATTTTTGTTGTTGTATTTTGTTAAGTTTAAGTTTGTTAATTTCTTTTTTATTAAGTTTGTGACTTTTATACGTGGTAGAGCCATGCTGCAGCTATATTAGTAGTATAGTTGTAGCACGAATGGGTCGGCTCGACCGGGGAAGGACCACGCTCTCACAGAATACCAGCGTAAAATAGCAGCTTAATCCTGCTGTGTTTCGTATGGTGAGTGTAGAGAACCGGAGACCCTTTTTACTGGAAAAGAGGCATTCCATCTTAGTCCTCACGGGTTATAACGCATCTGCATTTTGATTCGTAAACGAGGATAAATGTAGGTGTCTATGGGCCACAGCAACCTCTTACCATCAGGTGGTCTGTGTGCCCGTTTGTCACCCTATCATATAAAAAAAAAACTAGAACAGTGAATATGCCTAGAAGAAATATTGTTTTGAGAAGACAGGCACAGGAAATGTACACTCATACACGCACTCACACCACACATTACAAGCTGAACACCCACTTTGTCATATCGACTCACTGAATAATTCACTGAGGACTCTCCATCTATTAAGGAGTCGACCTACAGTATAAAGCTGCTGCCTACCCTTTGCCTCTCACCAATCCATGAAGAGTCCATTGGTGGGCATCAGAAAATACTGAACCCAATTCCCATAGACTAGCTATGGGGAAGGATCAAAAGTGCGAAATTATTGGTTCTGAACTCTCTAACTAGGCAAGACAAGCATGTTGGGTAAATTCAGCAGTGGATATTTTTACACAAATTTTGACATTGTGAAGTCTCGGTGAATTTTAAGGCTAAGAATGGCTGTAAGTATAGACAGACATAATATGATGGGCTGGATTTTAATATGGTTTGTCTATTTAAACCAGGCTCATTACCAGTGGTCAATATCGACCCCTTTGGGGTCGACATAACAATCATCAATCACACAGAATTTTTAATTTTTTTATGTTTACTTTGCAGTTTCAATGGTTTTTTTTTTTAATAATTACCTACTTATGTATTGTTTAATTTTGTATTAATAATTATTAATTATACTTTATATTTACTAAATTTTGTCTATTTATTTTGTTAAATTTTGATAGAATGATGTCAAGTTTACTCACTTAATCAACCGCAAAGTTTTTAAAAAGTATTTGTATGAATAGGAAAAAAATAAGAAATAGGAATTTTAAAGTAATTTGGCTATGGGGTCTGAAGTATCAGTTCATTTTGTAAAAGGGATCTCGTGCCCAAAATAGTTTGGGAATCCCCGATTTAAACTTTCTAACCTTTTCCACTTTCAGCGTATTTTGAAAGACCATGAAAACTTACCTGCTGCAAGAGTGAAACCGGAAAGTGGCTCCGTTTATTGGATCGTTGATGATGCGGCTGCGGCGCATTTATAACATACGATGGAGAAACCCAAAATATTACAATGTGAATCATGTGTATAGAATTATCCAGCATATATTTCATTTAAACGCTGTAATTATATTAAAATGTTGCTATTTAAAAGGCCGGCAACGCATCTGCAATTCCCCTGGTGTTGCGGTTGTTCATGGGCGGCGGTAGTCACTTACCATCAGGTGAGCCGCATGCTCGTTTGCCCCCTCTCCTATAAAAAAAAAAAATATTGTCATTCGTATTCTAACCATTATTACATTGTTATTAAGACCAGCAGGCGTATTCAAATCAAAATCACACATAAAGTCAAAATAAGTCACTTTGGTAGTACAGTGCATCTTTTGCTAGCTTTACTATAAGAGCTATCACAGCTCGTAAAAAAATACGAAATGTGTAATTTTGATGGCAACTAAGTTAGAGAGTTGGGATTGTTTTTATTAAAAAAGTATGGAATTTCTTATATCGAGTTAGTTTGTAATGACTGAAACTGTGTAGTGGGTATGATAATATATATTATAAATGTAAGTGAATACAAAGTGCATTTAAAACGGTTGCTGTGATAAAATGGTTAAAAGATGTATCTTTAAGGATAATGTTAAATATTTTGCACAGCTTTTTATATTAATGCTATATATTTTACAAAATAAAATTATATTAATTAAAATGATTTTTTTTACAGTTACGGATCCCTTCTCCTACACTATGAATTTATTCTAACGCATACGGACAAACATCCAGACCCGGAAAAATTATTTATAGACCGGCCATACAAATACTTGTTCTGTGAGGGATTCAAACCCTCGGCCCCACACCCTATTTTGCTTAGTCTGCGCTATTATCGAACCGACAGCTTCAAATAGTATTAGCCTGTATACAGTCCAGCTAAACAGACTATGCCACAGTTACAGATTTATCACAAGCATACCAAGATCGCCAATCCTGACGCTAGTTTTCTCAACTAAACAGTGAACACCTTACGCGGTATGATTTCACACCGAGTAAGATGTTTAGATTAATCATAATATGGTAAAGCCATGCTGCAGCTATATTATGATTGTAGCACGAATGGGTCGCCTCGACCGGGGAAGGACTACGCTCCCACAAAGTAGTGTTTCGTATGGTGTGGTAGAGAATCGGAACAATTTTTACTGAAGACGACGCATTCCATCTTAGTCCTCAGGGCTGAAAACACATCTGCATTTTGTTTTTAAGTCGAAGATAGATGTAGATGTCTGTAAGCCACAGCATCCATTTACTATCAGGTGGACTGTGCCCGTTTGTCGCCCTTTTTCTCTATAAAAAAGCAGCGACTATCGTGTGATAATACGGATCTTCAATATAATATTGTTGTTAGGCGCGTGTGTGTCAATTGTGAGATCATATAGCGTCACTACACTAAAGCTTCGTTCAAACTGAGGCGAATCCCACACGTCATTATTTTTGGTTTCTCAATAGAAAACAAGTATTTTGATAGTGAAGCTAAGATTTGTTGTTATTAGCATTAACTGAAGAAAAATCGAGGTGTGAGGAAGAAAAGAAGAAAATGTCAACACATCCATACAAGTTAGCTTACGCAATCGGCGCGAGCGAATCGCGTCCCGCGTCCCGCGCTGGATTCACCTCAATTTGAACGAAGCTTAACTCAAAAAAAAAATTAATCTTGCTTTCCTTCGACCCTTTATTATGGTTTTTGACGCGTTAACCGTTTCATTTACAAAAGTATTTAATTTATTGTAAATGCATTAAATGTCATTTTTCATAGTACAACATTCGCCAAGGATCTGGGTAGTGTGCGTGTACATCAACATCAATGCAAAACACGCATACAGACGTAATAAAACTGCCAATCATTTTTCAGTGTGTATTTCCCTCGTACTCTCAAATGCCCGCGAGATCAAAACAGCATTCGCTCACATAAAAAAAGACCTCGACTATTTTATAATACGGTACCTGTTACATTACGATTACCCATCTAAGACATACTTTCATATTTTTTTTCACAATAATATTAATTACAAAAAGTTTGTCAACTAAATACAAAAACTTTCAGCGCGCATAGCGCACCAAACACTTACATTCATATACATATTATTATATATAGAGATAAGATATACATAACTACCGTTAATTTAATAATAATTAAAAAAAAAACAATTTGTAACCTATCGTAGCGGACTTACGCGAAATTATTTGAGATACGTCGATGGAGCCGCGTTTAAAAGTACTTCATAATCATCGACCACATGAGTTTAGAGAAATACATTACACACCACGCGCTGGAAAGAGACTGCACGGTAGGAGCGATCCGTCTCTTTCGCACCTGCGGTGTAATGCGGTCAGAGGAAGAAACATCGACATTAAATACTTAGCTAATCTCGCCATATTTTAAAAAAATCTACAAAGACGCGGCACCACGACGCCACTACACTAGACTGATTTAAACAAAAAAAAAATATTAACACAGTTTTTTTAAATCATTTTGATTTCCTTTAACGCTTTATTTTACAATAATCAGTTGCACATTTAAATAGATACACGTTGAGACTTTATGTATAACTAAATAGATGGAACGTAAACTGATTTTGTGAGTCCTAGCGGAATTTCAATAACACGAATCATGATCGATTTAGAACAACAAATAATACTATATCAATCAGCATCGTTATAACGTAATTTATTACTAAGACAAATTGACAGACAAATACATCAAGAAACTCGACTTCCGTTGCGAATTAAAACTATATCGATGATACATTATAATGATGCCGACCCCTAAGCGATTACATCAGCAATAATTTGACTAACAGATTCCATTACGATACGTGCTATTACAATTCCGCCAGGAGTTTACTAAAATACAGTTTTACAAAAATGTTCCTGCGACACAGAGAAATTAACGCAGCCCTTGTAAGAGACGCTTTATATAGGCGCGTCAGACACTGGTCCTTGAGAGCCGAGTGCTGGTCCCCGGGAGCCGGACATCGATCTTGGTCGTCCAGACACCGATCCGGTTCCCGGTCCCGAGCCGGAAACGAGTTCTCGAGCGACCGCTATGGACTGTAGTGAATTAAGCACCGACCCCGCCGCTCCCGGAACTGGCTCCCGAGGACGTGGAGACAGGAACACGCCTCGCGGTCTCGGGAACATGAGTGCTTGCGAGGACAGGGCCGGTCTCTGGGAGATGACGGTGCTTTGGACGCCCAGAATGGGTCTCTGGACGCTGAGGGCTGGTGTTTGGGCGGATAAGGTTGGACGCTGAGCGTCCGTGCCTATCCCTCTGGCGCTGAGAAGCGCGAGCAGTCGTGAGTAGAGTGAGGTGGGCGCGCCCTGCTCTATGTACATGTGTCTGACGACTTGCAGGAAGTGTGCCTGGAACACCACACCATAGAGTTACACACAAACCATCCTCAGATTTACACCTACTATTGATACACAAATAAATTAGAATAAACATTTACATCATCTCAAGCAGTTCACTGATGAGAACGGACCCTTGTCAAAATAGTTATGCACCTATAACTAATTTTCAATTAAGTTAAAGAAGTGCATCAATTACAACACAAATATAAGTTCATTGTTGGATATAGGTCTCCCCCATAGATTGCCTTAAAGGGGGAGTTTTGCCATAGTATAGGCGGGTTGGCAACCAGATATTTTTAATAATTCAGAACTATTATCAGAAAGATGCTGCTGTCCATCTCCTGTTGCAGTTACCCTCTTTCGACACCTTTGTTGACTTCTTATGACAGCCACGGGAAATATGGAGCATTAGATATTCTTACACCGCCACGCGGTACTCGGCAAAGATAATCTACCTACCTCATAATAGAATACAAGTTTTCAACAGTACTGTAAAAGTTGGTGTTCTACGTCAAAAAAACATACCTTTGATATGGTTTTCGCTTTCATTTAATAAGCAAATATACTGTTACTATTGTTTCGCGAGTCTCTCCTATTGTAGGGAGAACTCTCCTATTGTATTAACGAGATTTTTATACAGCCATCTAACAGAAGGCATGTGATCTTTTTGGCATATTCCATAGTCGCCTCTTTAAGACATCCGGGAACAATATGAAGTGATGAATTCTCTTACGCCGAATAAATATATAATTTATATAATAATTTCACTATAAAAAGTATGACATCATAACAGTATTCCCAAAATATCTACAGAATCATTATGCATACTCAATTCATTAATCTTAGAACTAAGCAGATGTCACTACGTGCAACTAAGGTGAACTTATTTATTATGCTGGTGGTCACACAGTGTCATCATCATTGAAAGTTGCGATTTAATTGTAAGTATTTCGGTTTGTATTTATGTATGTATATACACAAAACACCGCCTTGGTGCTGTATTTCTTAATATTTTTCACATTTTTAACTCTTTAATTCTACTTTTAGAAATATTCGTAGTTTGGTTTATCCATTTTTAATCTAATTAATATATAATATTCTAGAACTTCCTCCGCTATAAAATCTGTCAAATATTTCACCTTATTCCTAAGTGGTGCCGTCCTGCAGCGCTAGCATGGGCAAGAGACAATTTTATCCCATGGGAAAGGAGAAAATGTTTATTGCCTCGCTTAGTTTTATCCACCCTTTGAACATGGGCACACCGGTGAGTATAATATCCATAGTAGATAAAATGAGAGATAAGACTTAGACTTTATAGGTTTTTTGTATGAATATAAGCTTAAACCCACATCCAATGAACTAGGATAAAATTGTCCCTTTCAAATGTCAAAAAAGCATAATTTTTTATCTTTCATTTGCTACGGGACGGGGGATATAATATGTCTACTAGTTACGTCATACGGGGATAATACTTCTCCTGTTGTCGTGCTTTGGTATAAGGACAAGATAATTTTATCTCTTGTCGGGGGATAAATTTTTTGTCCCCAGTCTATGCTAGCCGTGCTGGAGGCGGAAAAAGTCTTGGGTGCCGTTATTAATATCGGTATTAATTATTATCAAAAATAATATTTTCCTCAAATAGTGTTCCCCAGCTGGAGAGTCTAGGATAACACAGTAGCCAATGTGATCAGTACACATTTAATAATAATTTAAAATGGCCACCATTTTACATATTATATTTTATTATTATATTATAAATTACTATCAAATTTCTAGCTCATTGGAAATTAAGTTAAAAATTTGTATCGAACAGACAAGAAAGCAGAGTTATTAGAAACCTGGTAATAAAAATAACATGATACAAAGTAAATGTAGAGACTAACCGTGTAGGGCTAATTAGGCGCCCAGTAGGACTGCGAGTAGGTGGGCTTGCTGGCCGCCGGCTTGGCCGCCGCGCGCGCGCCCGCGCCGCTCTCCGCCTGCAACACCACGCCGCCTTACTGCCGTGCCTCGTGCCTTACCGCCTTATTTATATACAATAAACGAGACAAACACAGTCCACCTGATGGTAAATGAAACTGTGACCCATACACATCTACATCTATCCACAAATTGGAATCAATATGCAGATGCGTTGTCACCCCTGAGAACTAAAATAGAATATGTATCCAGTAAAAAGGGTCTCCGGTCTACACTCACCACACGAAACACAGCAGCATCAAGCTGCTATTCTACGATGGTATTCTGTGAGAGCGTGGTCCTCTACCCCGGTCAAGCTGACCGATTCGTGCTACAACTGTAACAAAGCTGCAGCATGGCTTACTGCGCACGCAACCTCGCACTGCTCGCTCTCTCTCACACAGACACATAACAAAGCTTTGTTACATAGTTAATAGTGGGAAATAACACTTTCAAATTAATTGACACCTCATTCGCACTAAACTTTTTCATTATTGACTCGAATGTGTATTATGGGATTTACTTTATTCGTAAATTTAAAAAATAGTTTGTTTTTTTTAGAGAAAATATTGGATTTTAAATACTCAATGGTGAGCACTCACTTCGACGGTTTGACAATTTTTTAACTAACTTCATGCGAATAAAGCTTTACTAAATCAAGTTACAAGTTAAGCATTGCCATAAATAAAAATATTACATACAACATAAAATATTAATTATTTACAAAAGAATTATTAAAAGCTGGCAATATAATACACAAAATAAAGTTGGTCCTAACAGAAGTAGTAACAAAAAAACCATTCTTGTTATTGCCAGAAATAGAGTAGTAAATATAATTATATTCATTCCCATGATTCTATTTTTTTTAATATATTTATTGAACTGAAATAGAAGTAAATCTTTTTTATTAATTTTAGACATTTTGAAAACCATATATTCTTATCTTTCATAATATGGTATATAATAATTTTTGCCTCGAAAAGTACGCAAAGCCGTAGGTTTTGCGCTTGATCTCTCTCAGGTAGAAATGTGCCAATCTTGAATAATTCGTTCATTTGACCCGGGTTGCATCAAAGTATTGATGATTGCAATTACATTTTTTGAACGTTCCGGATCAAACGATTGACAGGACCTACTACCAATAATTTAAAATTAAAAATTTTGTACAGCCGACTTCAATATAAGTTATTAAGAATAACTCAATAACTATTGATCTAACCTTGATCAATGGGAGTACACGAGAAGTATCAGCTTTCAAATAAAAAAAGAATAATTGAAATCGATTCACCCAGTAAAAAGTTATGAGGTAACACACATAAAAAAAACATACAGTCGAATTGAGTACCGTCTCCTTTTTGGAAGTCGGCAGAAAAGTATGGTAATGTCCGACGACCGTCATTATCGAGCGGGGTCTCACAGATCACAGAGTAGAGTACTGAGACTCGAAATTGACCCATTTGAATGATAGACCCGAATGACCCGGTAAGACGAATCAATACTAGAATGATAGGGTCACTACAAATGAATGAATGACATGTCTACTCTCCGGTCATGTCAATGTCTCATCGAACTATGCGAGTAAGGGAATAAAGAGTGCACCTGTTACTTGGGCACGCGCTCTTAGACTAGCCGCCGTGACCGAAATTCGATTTGAAGGACATTAGAATATGAGGGTAGCCTGGTTAGATTTTTTAACAGTGTGCGTATTTTAACTATTTATTTATTCTTCTCAAGAAAATAGACTTTTACACTTTTCTGTTCCTATAAAATGTTGCAGAGTAGCTTTCCGTTACTAGTTTCGACAAATCTATGTATCTAATATTTCAAATTTATCTTTCTTATGTCGGTGTTTATGTGACTAAACTCCTCCTAAACGGCTGGACCGATTTCGATAAATGTTTTGTGTTAGAATAGGACCTTGGATAGCTCAGATTCACAATTGGATCTGGTAGGTGGCGCTGTCGTCGAGATCCAGAAATCATCCGTGCGAAGACGGGGTGGATCGCTAGAATTTTTTTTCAACCCGTATTATTTGTTCTTTATTGTACTTTTTCCAAGTTTCACACATAGGCCTCAAGTTTCAGTTACAGATCGTATTCCAATGTTTATACATACCTACTTACCACACTACAACAGATATATTATACAAACAACACAAAACAAAGTTAGTAAATATAAAATATAATATTATTCGTGCAATATATAAAGGCGGGTAATATACCAGTATAATTATATTAAACAGATACATACGATATGTGCACATAGACATGAAAAAATAAACATACATATAAACTTACCCGCCTATTATGACTATTGTTCACCCGAACATCCATCTACAAACGAAAGCAAACTCTAAGAAATATAATAAATCAACAAAATACAAACTAATCGCATGCATTAAACTATTCAATAAACTAATAATTTAAAATCCATGCTACATGTGTTGATTTAAAATTTCAAACACTACACTACGTAAAACAAAATAGTTGATATTGAACATGTGTAAAAAATTTCCATTTCATATTTCAAAATGCTTAGAGCAAAGTAATGCTTGTACTGCTCTAAGATTTAGACATGTTAAAATAATTACAGGCAGTCCTCATTATTTGGGATTGATGGTTTGGAAAATATAAGCCGAATTCCGCAGTACAAATACTCGAAAATTTATTGAATTTAATTCATTACATCAGCTATACACAAACCATGATTTTAGGTAAATAATTAATGGATCTTGTTAGGCACAGCAACAATTACATTATGTACAGGTAAAGTGTTTGTAGTAAATAAAAAAATATGATTTGAAATGGGGTTTTGTCCGTTTTGGTTTTTATAATAATATAACGTTTTATATTTAAATACATGGGCCATATAAGGCCGCTTCTTAATCTAATGAATGACAAAGCTTACTGAAGAAAGCGTTTTGCTTTATTTCGCATATTTTAAGAATCTATACTGTAAGCTTGAGAACTGTCTGTACTAATCATTAGTTAAGTAGATAATAAAATATAAAAATAGTATATGCAATATTTTAAGAAAAGGGACTTAATACTAGTTATCCGGCTCGAAGGACCAAAGTAAGGATATTATTCTGAACTGATTAGGAAAGAAAATAAAGCCTTATATTATTAAGTATAGCAGTTCAAAGTAGATAAGAATTCGCAAAATTAAAGCCTTTATTTCACTGTGGTAATTATCATTCGGTTTAACGTGCATCAGCTGTGTAGATGTGGATATTATGCGAATGCGTTCGTTATTGTTAAGTGTATGGGTGTGTTGAAGATTTATTGTATTAAATAATGTGAGAGAGTGTTTGTTGGCACTTTGTGTGTGCGTGTCTGGGGACATTATGTACGTACTACTTTGATTTGAGACATTATATGAGGGTTTGTGAGTAGATGTGTGTCTCATCATCTCCAATCATTATACTGAAGAGTTGGTTTGGAGAGGGGACAAAATTCTGTGTGGGTTTGTGTTTTTATGCAGGCGTATGTTAAAATATTGTAAGGTAATATATATAGAGCTTTATCTTAGTGTGTCTGTGTGTGCGAGTGCTGTTTGAAATATGTATAAAAATCATCACATTATTATTT